CCCCCCCCCCCCCGGCACCCCTTCCTCGACATTATTTCCACACATTTCTTATTAATTAGTTTAATCCAAATCGAGTATTAAAAACGTTAAATACTCCGAATAATCTCTTCTGTTTTTAAAAAAAAAAAAAAAAGCTTTCTTTGGCTTTCGGTTTTTAAACATTTTTTTTTAAAATGTGGTATTTATTTTTTAGAGAGCCAGTAGCTGGCACAGTGGCACCTCGATGACCAGCTCCTCAACGACCTCATCAGCTATACCTATCACATCGATCTCTGATACCGCCAGGGCTACAACCGGCCATTCAAAAACTGATGATGTCACCCATGTGGATCATGAGGCATGTGTCAGCAAGAGATGGCACGCTTTGTTATTTATCAGGATTTCTGAAATTTGAACTTGTTGGATGGTTGTAATGTTTCATTTTATATTTTGTTGGTGCCTACATTTTTAAAATCTTAAAGAAAAATTTCTGGGCAAATTTTTTGTCTTGCAATCATAAAAGAATGCAGTGACTTCGTGGGAGCCCTTAATCCAGGGGAACACATTGTGATTCTGTTCCAAACATTAATATTTCTTTTTATAACTGTGGAAGGCTGGTCATTCTTTGGACATTGTTTATTAAACAAGAGAAGGGAGAGGTTAACTGGGTGCTGAGAGTTAAGGGATAACTGGGTGCTGAGAGTTAAGTCCCTTGGATGTGCTGGTGGTGTGAGTCATTGTCTTAAGGCAATGGTCGACGAATTGCGTCTCTCGAGCAGCATGCAGCTCTTTAGTGACCTGAGTGCGGCTCGGCCACAAATCAGGTCTGACTCCGAAAAACTGGTTCTTGACAAGCTCTTGAAAATAAATTTGTCTCTCAAAATTTGTTTTAATCGCCCTGCTACTGATTTTCGGCTCTTTTGACTAATGAGTTTGCCGACCACTGTCTTAGGGGTAGGGGTGTGAGAGCAGCCATTGATGAAATTGGTAAGTACTCGAGCCTGGGGCTCAACAGATCAGATTAAAACTCCACTCACATGAAACATGCTCAACAATAATCGTAGGCAAACTTTTGTATTCCTAATGTTGATGATAAAAATAAGGCAATGTTTGTGTGCTAAAGTTGATGATAAAATACCAAAATGTTTGTTAAGAATGCTCAAGTATTTCATTAATGTAATACACACAAAAAAAGGTGGTGGGGGGGGGGGGATTAGATTCAAGAAGAAGAAGAATACAATCACATTTAAAATGATAAAATCCAAAAAGCTAAGACCCTTGCCTCTGCAGCTCTCATGTTTTAACATTATATATTCATGCATATCAGTGAGTGAGGATGGGTGAAGTAACCTTTCTATTTAAATACATTAATTTTTTTTTTTTTCACCTTATTTTCCAGGACATCAAAGACCCATCAAGTGGTGAAAAAAAGACTCTCCTAGCGGACGCCTCCGAAGTAAATTGTTTTGCATCACATCTTTGAAAACTTTCCCCATTCCCCCAATTACTTTCCTATCTCAGTCACCTGTTATTTGTTTTAGTGATATTCCTTTCACATTTTTTAATCCCCCAATTTCTTTCCTATCTCAGTCATCTGTGATATGTTTCAGTGATATGTCCTTCACATTTTTTAATCCCCCAATTATTTTCCTAACTTGGTCACCCGTGATTTGTTTCAGTGATAGTCCTTCACATTTTTTAAATTTCCCTTATGTCTTTCCTAACTCAGTCAACTGTGCTGTGTTCCAGTGTTACCTCACTGACACCCTTACAAACGTGCCTCACTTAGTGCTGAACAAGAGCAGAACTGGTCATGAAATTAAAAATATTTAAAAAAATATTTTTTCGCATCGAGAGCAAAAATTACGAAAATAACGTCCTGGATCTGCAACATGATTTACACATTGCATTTATTTTGTTCTTGGTTTGGATGAAGTCCAAAGCCTTCTTTGCCTTTTTTAAAACTCCCAGTGGTTCCTTCTTCTTCTTCTTCTTTATTTTGAGGGCCCACGATCAATGAATTGATCATTCCTATGTTTCAGAGGGTTTTGCGATGTTACTGTGCATGGGTTTCAAGGTGATACTTAACTGGTTGCAAGGGCTACTCAGCAGTGGTGTTACGAACTGGGGGTTGGAATACAGGAGGAAACTGGCTCAAGAATATGGCCATGCAATTCGTAAAAGTGGTTTAGAGGGGATCTGCTACTGGAGACTGACAGGGTCTGGCACTTGAGGGGATGAAATTCCATGTCCCAGCTCATCTCCCACTCAGCTAACTGATTGAGGTCTCGTTGAAGCTGGCTCTGGTCAGAGCTGTTGACGATTGTCCTATATACCGCCGTGTCGTCTGCGAACAGTCTTGCTTGAGAGTTCAGCTTCTCGGGCAGATCATTGATATATGCTAGGAACAAATAAAAGCCTAGCACTGAGCCCTGGGGGACCCCTGACTTAACACCGACAAAGGAGGAGGTTTTGCCATCTACCACTACTGCCTGGCATCGGTCGCTGAGGAAGCTAGAGATCCATGTTTTGGTAGTGCCTTGGATCCCATATCTCTGCAGTTTGTGTAATAGCAAGCTATGGTTGACACGGTCAAACGCTTTTGAAAAGTCCAGCCCAAGCACATCAGTCTGCTTGCTGTTCTCCAAGGTGGTCGTCAATTCTTCAGCAAATTCAACAAGGATTTGGGTCTTGCATGATCTGTTGACTCGAAAGCCATGCTGACAGTCATTGAGTATATTTTGTCTTTCCAGATGATTCATGACGGCGCTTACAATTATGTGCTCCAATAGTTTACATACTACGCTAGTGAGGGATACAGGGCGGTAATTGGCAGGGTCGTAATGCTCCCCTTTCTTGTGGTTTGGAGGGACATACGCTGTTCTCCAGTCAGTTGGAACGTTGCCTGTGAATAGTGACGATTGGAAGAGGATTGTTAGTACAGGAGCGATTTCATTGGCCAATTCTTTTAGCACTCATGATTTGATGTTGTCAGGACCACATGCCTTGTAGGGGTTAATGGTTTTAAGGAGTTCCAGCACACCCTTCTCTGAAATCTGGATATCTTCCATGGCGGGGTAGGCTGTGCTCATCATGTTGGTCTTCAGAAGGAACTCAACTTCTGAGTACTCTCTACCACCCCCAAAGACCGACTGGAACTGTTGATTGAGTATGTCCGCCTGTTCTTTGGATTCAGACGTCAACTTGTCTTCCCATCTCAGGGGGGAAACCCCGATGTTTGTTGACCTTTGATGCTTGACATAGCTCCAGAACCGCTTGTTCTTGGCGGTAGTATCTTCCTCTGAGAAGATGCCGTTCAGGTAGTTCCTTTAGGATCTGCGCAATAAGCGTTGGATGGTTCTTCGGAGCCTCAGTTCTTCGGCTTTTAGTTCGACCGATCCATTCTTCTTCATACGTTTCTACTGGCGGTCTCTCCTGTGTATGAGCCTTCGGATTTCAGCCGTAACCCATGGTTGATTTGTATTAGGTTTTGAGGTCTTGTGTGGCTTGAATTTCTTCACTGCATCAGTGATTGTTGTCTTGAATTTCATCCACAGCTCTTCTGTTGTCGTTTTACCCTGAATCTCATGCATGTTTCTAGGCAGTTAACAATATGAAACCAAGTTTTGTTACTTTATTTACATTTTTTGGGGTCACACTTTTTGTCCTCTCATGGTTTCCTGAAATGTATTGTTCTTGCATGTGAGTGACTTCCTTCTTATGATTAAAGCAGGGTGTCCTAAGCTCCCTTAGTACATGGGAACCGTTTGCCAGTCAGATGTTGGCTAGGTGGGCCCCGTTTGCCAGTCAGATGTTGGCCAGGGAACCCTGCTTATAATGAAGTATTTAATTGCATAAAATAAAATTTCATAAGAAATCAATGTCATGAACATCCTGACTGACACCTTTTCACTGTCCACAAGGGGTACCTGAACCACGGATTAAGAACCCCTGGTTTTATTCCATACTGTTCCTTTACTTGCATTTTTGGCCCCCCTCTAAAGTCACAACGGTGATTTGCCTTTCTGTAGAACCCTCTAAAGTCTTAGTGTATCACAACAGTGATTAGCCTTTCTGTAGAATCCTAAAAAGTCTTAGTGTATGACAACGGTGATTGGCCTTTCTGTAGCACCCTCTAAAGTCTTAGTGTATCACAACAGTGATTGACCTTTTTGTAGAACCCTCTAAAGTCTTAGTGTATCACAACAGTGATTGGCCTTTCTATGGAAGGATTGACGCACTGGTTGGTCTCTGTTTTTTCAGAATCCATCTTGGGGTCAGAAGTTCCTCTTTGTGGTGGACCCCAGCAAGAAGTTCCTCAATGTCTGCATCTGGTGCAGGGGAGGGGATCGCAATGACAAGAATGAAATCCTGAAGCACTCTAAACATGACCTGCTCATTGGATATGTAGGTCATACACATACATATTTATTATTGTAATTGGAATGGGATTAGTAGGCTGTCTTTAATCTGGATATGTAACTTTTTGTTGACGAATGAATTATTTAGTTGATACATATATTCTTCATACACCCAACGCACCCATCTGACACAAGTAAGTGGCCAGCTCGAATGTCCAGTTTTAAACAGTGATCCAGATTTGTATAAATATTCAATTGGTTCTTATAAAGTAGGTTGATTTGATAATGATCTGTTTCCCCACGGGTTTAATACCTGTTTTTTTTGTTGCAGGTGAGTTTAAACCTGGAGGATGTTTACCTTCAATGCCTCATCACCTTGAATGGATCCATGCATGAGAGGTTTAAACTAAAACATGGCCACTACAAGACAGCTGATGAGTATGTCACCCTTGTTGCTATACCTTCACTAGATTCTTGTCACATCATGATGGGTCACTGTGTGGTTTTGTTGTTGTGCAGCATGGAGATTCACTTGTAATTTTTGCTCACGGAATGTTGTGTTTGATTGTGTGAGTTCTGTCTTTGTATGTTAGTTGTGTTAATGAATGCTTTTGGGGTGCCATGAGGCCTGTGATGTGTTTTTTGTATGTATATGTGAGTAGGGGTCTTGTTTGTCTTTGAGTAGGACTACTTGCTTCCATCTTTGAGTAGGACTACTTGCTTCCATCTTTGATTAGGACTACTTGCTTCCATCTTTGAGTAGGACTACTTGCTTCCATCTTTGAGTAGGACTACTTGCTTCCATCTTTGAGTAGGACTACTTGCTTCCATCTTTGAGTAGGACTACTTGCTTCCATCTTTGATTAGGACTACTTGCTTCCATCTTTGAGTAGGACTACTTGCTTCCATCTTTGAGTAGAACTTCTAGCTATTCGTTTTGGCTGTTGCTTTCTGAGCATTGAGTGAAAACTTGATGTGTGAACCCCAGTCATTACAGATGGGACATTGGTTAATATAATTAATAGGTCACCCTGTGCTTTTATGTGATTAATTGGTTACTTTGCATCTTTATTTATGTCAGGTGTAGGCTACTGTTTTCTTTGTGAGTGTAAGATTTGAACAGTGTTGCTGTAATTTAAAAGAAGAGCTCTCTTGTCTTTGTGTCATTACCCATGCTAAAGTAGGTTTCACCTTGTGTCTGTAAGTTTTGTAACATTTCTCAGTATCCACCCGGTCTCTTACTCGTGTACAGTAACAAGTAACATCTGTCAGTATCACAATAGTTTACACCTTGCCTCACACTCATTTACACTAACATTTGTCTGTATAACAATGGTTTACTCTTTGTCTCTCTCATTTTAAATATTAGGTTTTACGTTGTCCTCTTCTTCTATTTCACTATTTCACCATTTATGTGCACACCTTATTTATTATCTTCCCATCCCACTTTATGTTAACAGTCCTGTTCTATTTCACCATTTATGTGCATACCTTATTTATTATCTTCCCATCCCACTTCATGTTCTCAGTCCTTCTTTTCTATGTAGAAACATTGAAACATCATAGTGACAACAACAAAAAAACAAACAAAGAATTAAACCATAGTTTAAATTCACCTATGAATGCTTTCCAGTCTGATAAAGATGTGGCAGACACACAAAGGCTGGGACCCGAATCAGATGTACGGGGACATACTGTTGGCCTTTACTTTTTACCCAACATCAATGACAGACGAGGAGAGGAAGTCTTACGCCAGCTGTAAAGTGCCGGATCTCGAAAGTGGCACCCATGACAAGAAAGGCGCCAAATCGGGAGGCACGACATTGCCTGAAAATGTACATCTAACAGATTCGAAACTGTTGGGGAAGTAAGTTGTCTAGAAAAACAATCAAATTCTTTTGTTGGGATGATCAGAAGTCAAATTTAACCACCAGGTTCTGCAAAGACTAAAATAGAGATTTTTATGCTTTCATTTAAAGTCTAGGGGGGTTCTACAGCACTGCTATATATTTGCTCATAAATGCCAAATGGAAGTCGTTTAATATGTCACAGTATCCACTTTAAAACTCAACATTTATCAACAGGACATAACCTAACAATGACCCAAGTAAATAATGCAAATTCTTTCTTGGGGGGATTCTCAACACTTAAATAAATACTGCTCTAAGAGACATAAACGGATTTGTTGCTGAATGAAGATAAAGCTGTAATGAATACTTTAAATACCGTAGTAAGCAGGACACTTGGAACAGAAAGTTTTTCCCCAACTCTGGCTTAACTTAATAGCTATTTAATTAATTCTTATAACTTGTTAAAATTACTTCCCTTTATCTAAGACACACTTCTCATTTTAAAATAAAAAACTAACCTTAAATGAATGGAAAAGCAACTAACCAATATAAATTTGGAATTTTAAAAAAAAATCTATGATTTACAAGATATACAAAAAAAAGCTATTTTTCATTGCAGTGATTTAAATGAAACATTTAATTTAGATTCCACAAATCAGTTGTGTTTAATTTTACAAAATACCTGGTAATACATTTCTGGCAGATGTAAGTTTTATGTGCTAGACATTAAATGCTTCCTTTGCCATTTACCATTAAAACGGGTGCAGACTAGAAATGGTGTTTAATCCACTTAGCCAGCAGTTACATTAACTTGAAGGCCAAATGGGGTGTCTTTTAATAGTTTTTAACTTGTTCATTTCATTCCAGAGACGTCCATCATCAGTTTGAGAACACTACATTTATTTCAGCAACATTCTGTGACTACTGCGGGAAAAAGGTAAGTGTCATTTGGTGAATGCAGATACAGGATAAAACAGCTGGCCATACAGAATGTAAGATTTTTGAAACCAGAAATGAATTGTATGTGTTTCCTTATGTCAGTCTTTTGGCATCACTAGTTTATTGATTTATTGTCAATATATATATATGTAATTTTTCACTGATACAGGCTACTCACAGGAACAACCACAAGTCGTTGTATGTTTTCAAAATACACATATATATTTTTATACTAAATTCAAAACAAGTGTGGGATTCAACTCTCAGCAAAACCAAATATTCACTCCAGGCCTCACCCCCTACCTATGGGGAAAATTAGGTTTAAGGTTAATATGGAGATGTGAGATGTATTTTATGATGAGATTATAGTGCAAAGCATTGCACAATGCACAAACATCTGTGACACACCAGATGAACATAACAGCTACCAGATAAACAGGAACAAGAACAAATGAGAAAATAGCAAACTTTTTGTTTTATTTGGTGACTAACCAATATTATTCGCAGTGTTGTGGGTTTTAACCCTCACGGCAGCACTTTGAAAACTTCATGTATCAGCAAATTCAGGACTAATATATAAAAATATATATATGAATGTGATCATTAAGTCTTTTTTCATTATACTTCAGGATGACTGACTTTTAAAGCAGCTTATCGTCATGAAGTTATTCATTGATTATTTTGCAGATCTGGATGAAAGACGCCTTCAAATGCCGGACTTGTAATATGGTGTGTCATAAAAAATGTCTAGTGAAATGTCTCCTCAACACCATTTGTACAGAGTGAGTTTTTAAGTTTTGCAAGAAAAATTAAAGTGTTGTGATAGTTTGTGGACTAAAGGGTGCTCACTCCAGCGTGAAGGGAGATAATTAGCTAATAATTACAGGAATGGAAAAATCTGAAAAACACTTTGAATCCATCATAGTACTAAATCAAAACTAAAAACATGTTTTTATCTTAATGCTATCGCTCAAAAGTGTTTATGTGCAGGGCCACATCACCCTCCCACAAGCAACAGAGTTGTTAGTTTTCCTTAATTTTATTTTAATAAACTTTTACAGTTTAGAATCGCATCACATGTTGCCATTTATAACGCATGATTTACAAGTACACCAAACAGCATTCAAATTTACTGGTACACCAAACATCATTTCAAATTTGCATGTTTGAGAGACAATAGGTGTGAAAAAAATATTTATCAAGCAAAAGCTTGTAATGAGATATCAGGTGTCTATTTAAAAATTGTCTTAAAAATCTTTCTCTGAAAGAACTGATTAAACAAATAATTGTCTGTTTAGAAAAAGATTGGTCATTTTACACAAATATGTTTAAGGACAGCCATTGGAGAAAATGTAGCTTGAAATTGTATTCAAACTTCTGGTATAGTTTATATAAAATCATTACGAAGATGAAGCAAGTATTAATTACTTAGATGCCTTATCTCCACAAGCTGTGCTCCAATGTCAATACGAATTGCCACATGTGTCATATTTTCAATTCATTTATTTATATAAGTGAATGTCTTAACTGATTTTCTTAATGTCTGTGACTTTTCCAGACATGGGGTGAGGAAAAGAAGTTCTGCAGATACCGATGAGCCTTGGATTCCATTGACTGAGTCTGGCAAACACAAGCAAAAAATCAAATTGGATGAGAGAGATGACTTCGGTAACAATAAATGTTTACCTGTGGTATTCAACAAGTTAACACTTTGTGCATGGGGGCTGTTCCATCTACAGTCTTGCATGTAAAATAAATTTTAAAAATCTACCAACAACACATCAATATCTATGTAGCTATCAAAAGTTGCCCAGACATGAGCACTCTGACTTGATCATGAGTGTGAGAGACACAGATGTGAGCTTGCCCCCCCCCCCTTTTCTTCTTCTTCTATATCTTAAGGGCCCACGATCAATTTATTGATCATTTTGGCTCCTATGCATGTAGATGGGATTTGCAATGTTTCTTTTCCTGGTGTTGATGAGGAAATTTCACAGATTTCCAGTGCCACTTTGTGAGGGAATCATGCACTGGGGGTTTGAAGGCTTGAGGCAATAGACACAAATGTGTCTAGTGTTGTCGCCTCAACCGTTCCTTTTGAAAGATTGTTCCAGTCCCTGATTGTCTTGGGCAGGAATGAGCAGCTCCTATACTGGCTTCTTGCTGGTATGAGCCTGAATTGCCTGTCATGGCCTCGTCGCTGTCTATGGGGGAGAGGTACGAGTTTCTGTTTAATACTGGAACAGTGGACCAGCCCATTATTTATCTTGTACATCATGGAGAGCCTGGATTGTCGTCGTCGTTTCTCCAATGGTGACCAGCCTAGTGTTTCTAGCATGCTGCCAACACTTGAGGTATTCCTGTAGCGGTTTAGGACAAAGCGTGCTGCTCGTCGCTGGACCGCCTCCAACCTGTCAATGCTCTTCTGGGTAAATGGGTCCCAGACTGAAGATGCATAATCTAAAATCGGACGGATAAAGGCTTTATATGCTCTTTCTTTCACACAGGAGTTGCCAATCTTTAGATTTCGCCTTAAGAACCCTAGGGTCTTGTTTGCTTGGTTACATACATTGTTAATATGTTCATCCCATCGGACCTCTCTTTGAATGGTAACACCCAGGTACTTTACGGAGGAAACTTGCTCAAGAATATGGCCGTGCAGTTTGTATTGGTAGTGTAGAGGAGTACAACTTCTAGAGATTGATAGTGTCTGGCACTTGGCAGGGTGAAATTCCATGTCCCAGCTCATCTCCCACTCAGCTAACAGAGGGTAGATGTCAGTTTTTATGTCTACCCTCTTTTAGCCCCCCTCTCTTTACCAGACCGACAGTGTAATCTTGACCACTTTTTAAGTATGGATTTTTTTTTTACAGTTCAATTTTATTTTGGCCTTTCACTCCTTCAATTAAATTCTTTTTTTGGTTGACAGTTTACATTTTCGCCATGCCTACCACCAAGTTATGTCATTCTTCATCTATTTTTATCTGTTGTCATGTCTTGAGTCAAATTTCTGATGTCAGTTTTTATGTCTACCTTTTTGATGGCACCTGAGCTTTTCTTTCCCCCTCATTATATTTACAGAGAAAGATGATGACGCATCAACCTTTGTGGACCTGGAGGAACTGGACGACTACGTCTCCAGCGTACGTATTTAATGATGACGATGACAATTATAACAAACATGCTTTTGTGTAACTTTTACTACAGCAGCAGTTCTCAGCCTTTGGGGCCTCAGACACAGCTAAATAAACTATGCTTTTTCAGTGGTGTACCACCGTTTGTTTTCCCTGAAAAAACTAACCAAGTGCCACAAACCGGCAGAGCTTGAAGTGAAAAGATTTATGGTTAAAATACTAACAGAAATTTTACAATTACTTACCAAGTGAAATTTCCCATCAACAAAAGCAAGTGATATTATTATTGGCATTATTTTTATCATTAGTTACTCTGAACCTTGTTAAGGTTGAATTTTGAACAGGTAAATTCTAATTTATGAAAGTTTATTTAATTTGTATGCAATTTCCGAACTTTCAGTTCATACGTACATTATCACTGGGACAACTTTTATAAATTGGAAATTGTCTGCTTTCAACCTTCAGAACAGAGAATATTCAGTTTTGTTTGATGGTGAAAAATAAATTTGTACTATCTTGAACACTGTTTATTTTTTGAATTCTCAGAAACTAATTATAGCCCGCCAAACAATGGCATCGGCAATGCATGAGTTTCCCATCTACTAAAGTTACTTGACAAAACATGCATTCAAGTAATGCACTTTTTAAGAATCCTAATAAATTCTAACCCACCTAGGTATTTTACAACACACATTTTTTTTTTCCACGCCCCCAGAACTATATTAAAATTATAATGTCCTACCACCTTTTACACCACAGGTTAATCAAACCATATTTCAAAATTATTATCGGTAAACAAAAAGACAATATCACGCACCAAACATTCTTGCCGTCTTTTAAAAAATCTCATTTAGCGCAGTTATCGGGAACTTTATTTTATGCAGCGTAGAACACACCATTACTCTGTACCTTCTTTCATACCCAGAGAATTATAAATTGTGATGGTTTGATAAGTGTTTTTAAGTCATCATATTTTCTATCTGGAAACAGGTGCAAGCTGAAAGCTTCATAGATAGTCTTGCCACAAAATCTGATGCTGGGTTAACCAAGGCCACCAGTTCTGATGTAAGTAAACAATTTTTCGGATCCTTTTTCTCAATGAAGCTATGTAAGCATTTTTTCCCTCCATCCGTCTCTGTGGCGCTTCAGCCCATGCAGGGCTTTGGCCTGCCTCACAACTCCCTTCCACTCTGACCTAACTAATGCTTTTCTTTTCCATGCTTGGATTTCCAGCTGCTGTAGATCTTTTTCCACATCATCCATTCATCTAAGGTCTGCCTTTGAGCCATTTTCCTCTGGTGTTTTGGTGATGTACCCTCTCCACTCCTCTGTCGTTTGGCATTCTCTCTAAGTGTCCCGCCCAGCGTAGCCTGCCCTTTTTTTTTCTTCTACTAGCGTTTGATTCTGATATAGACTATACCAGGCCTGCACAACTCAAAATGTAAGGCGGGCCGTAATACTTTATGAAAAACGTGTGCAGGCCAAAAGAAAATAAGACAGGACTTGTGCGGGCCAAAAGAAAATAAGAAAGGACTTGTGCGGGCCAAAAGAAAATAGGTCAGGGGGAACGCTATTAAGAAAATAATAAGAATACAGAGTATTTCGTTACTTAGCGGGCCACAAAGTGGGTGCTGCTAGGCCACTTGTGGCCCGCGGGCCGTATGTTGTGCAGGCCTGGACTACACAATTCCTGGTTGGTTCATATTCTCCATCCATATTCATCCTATGGTTGTCCATATATTTTCCTGAGAACTTTACTCTCCCATGTCTTTAATAGGTTTTCTGCTGTTTTTGTTAGGGTCCAAGTTTTACTTGCGTATGTTACAACTGGTCTGATTACAGTTTTATAAATAGTTTTCTTTGTTTTTCTTTTAATGTTTTTACTTTTGAGCATTTATTGGTTTTGTTTAATCATTGGTTTCAAAGAGTTTCCTTTTGGTAGTCTGGTCAAGCCTATATAATATGGTCAATGCTATATAAGATAAGATAAGATTCTTTTATTGATCCAAATAAATGGAAATGTTTTTTTTATTGAATTATAGATCTTCAGCACATAAATAAAACAATTTGAAGACATTTGGTATATTTGGTCAAACTTATACGTATGATCTAAATTACATACAATTTAAATTAAGTTTTTTTTTGCTTGCTTTAAACAGCATTTTTTTGGGAGGAGGGTGCCAGGAAGTTTTTCTGTCCATACACAGTTGAGAGTTTGTCAAAAATGTAAAGCAGGGTTAGTGGTGACAGGGTGTGTTAATTTGTATTGATGAAAAGCCTCCCTAATTTATAAAAAGTGGAACAAGTTATGGGTTGAGATCTTCAAACTCGTACTTTTTTTTTATTTCTAATAATTTTTTCTTTCTCGTTTTGTCTCTGCTGAACAAGACATTTAGCCGAAACATCCATTTAACTGTTCTGTTTTTTTTCCCTTTCTTTTCAAGCTTGAACACCGCACCCTCATATGATATATTTACCCCTAATTTACCCCTATGAAAATATTCCAAGTCCCATTCCTAAAAAGGAATTCCAAAAAAATTTTTATGCCGCTTAATAATTTATTATTTCCTGGCCTTTTTTGCACCTGTAATGATGTCATTGAAAATTTGCACAGGTGTCTGGAAGCCGCTTCAGAATTCTAAGAGAGCAGACCGATCGTATGAAGGATTTGATGAAGCACCTCAAGAGGGGCAAAGTTCAGAACTCTCTCAGCGACAAGGCCATCGTAGAAGCCAAAGAAACAGGCGCTCGCCTCTTTCTGGATATGGACACTGCAAAGAGGAAAGAAAAGCTTGAAGGACTGGTTAGTAAATTGATTTTTACGGGAAATTTTACCCAGTTTCATTTGTTGAGTTTAGAAGGTACAGTTCTGGTGTTGAAACAGAATTCATACAGAGGGTCATGTCAGGTCCACTGTCATGTCAGATTCACAGTCATCTCAGGTCCACAGTCATGTCAGGTTCACAGTCATGTCAGGTTGTCAGTCATGTCAGGTCCACAGCCATGTTAGGCCGTCAGTCATGTCAGATCCACAGCCATATCAGGTCCACAGTCATGTCAGGTTCACAGTCATGTCAGGTTCACAGTCATGTCAGGTCGTCAGTCATGTCAGGTCCACAGCCATGTTAGGTCGTCAGTCATGTCAGATCCACAGCCATGTCAGGTCCACAGTCATGTCAGGTTCACAGTCATGTCAGGTCCAAAGTCATCAGCCATGTCAGGTCCACAGTCATGTCAGGTTCACAGTCATGTCAAGTCCACAGTCATCAGCCATGTCAGGTCCACAGTCATGTCAGATCAACAGACACTTACACATGTCAGTTTTGAGAGTATCAAACCATCAAGCCAAATGGCAACTTTTGTCACCAATGGCTAACTTGGCTTAACATTAATTAGAATCTGCCACATATTAAAAAAACATATGGCTTGCTTTTAGTGCAGTTCAAGTTGTCCATGTTTTTCCCATAGTTTAGTGGAGCAGTCCCTCATCATGTCCGTGGCTTAAGGTCCACAATTCTGAGCCTAATGTCAAAAACTGAGAATTACTTTTTAAGGACTATGCAATTATTGTTCAGCATTATAGTTATAAAGTTATGTCAATTTATTAAGCAAAGAATGCTTGCAAGTATCAAATGATTTAAAATGTAACATTTTCTTTAAATTCTGTCCTGGGGAAAGATAAAGGGCCCAATATGCATCTGAGAATTCAGTAAAAAGTCTAGTAAAGAATCCATTAAAGAGTCAGCTCATGATACTTATTGTTCTTGTTTGACTCCATGCTTTATATTTTCAGATCAAAAGCCTTGACGAGCAGCTGATCATGGAGATGCAGAACAAGGAACTGATAGAAAAAGAGTGTGCAAAGTTGGAGGAGTCCGACAAGCTCAACTCAACCCCCAAGCACAGGGCGGAGCTCAAAGCTCTAGAGGGTAAAGCCGTCAAGTCTGGTGAAAAGCTTGACGCCATGAGGCTCCTCATGCTGCAGTACTGCTCGGGTCTGCAGACGTGTCTCAGCGCGACTGATGCCATGGATACGGATCAGAGAAAGGATGTCCCACAAAGACCGCCCCCGGCCGGCAGCCCAAAATATGAGCCACCAAAGGGTGCACGGTACACTGTTACAGGATTCGTGCGTCGGGCGGGCACGTCGGTCAAAGAAAAGGTCACGTCAATAAAGAAGGATTTCGGGAGAAAAGGGAAGAGCACAGACAAGGATGGACCTTCCACGTCAGCTGGGGCCAACAACAACAAACAGTTAAATCAAATTGCTGAAATTTCATTGTCTGCGGAACGTGTCACATTAGCTGAAGAAGATGTGAAAACAAGCTTTCGACGGCAGAGTTCTGGCGGTGATGAGATGGGTGAAATTTTCGAAGACATTTTCAAGGTGATAGAGGAACCAGAAAATGACATCACTCATCCTCCTCGCCGCCATCCAGATATCCAAATAAAAGTGGAAGATACAGACAGGCCGGGAAAAGATGGTGGGGCTAAGGGGGACAGGACAGATCCTAATGAGCCAAGGTTACTCTTGCGGGAACAGTTAAGTTTAACTAGATCAAATTCAGATTCTGGATTAGAGATTTGCAAAATGCTCAGTCTAAGCCCCGAAGAAATTCTTCGCTACCGCGGCAACTCGCTGCCAAAACTTTTGGTCAGTGACGACTCTGATTCAGGCTCTGATTTTTTAGTTATTAACTCGTCGGATGAGGAGCAGGTCATGACAGACAGCTCAGATAATGAACAGGATGGGGTGGCTGTGAATTTTGCTGGTGACGAGAGGAGGGGGAAGGAAGATGACGACGACAACAGTGATGCAGAGACGGAGAAACATCATCGGACCACGGCGCAGCAGTTTCAGACATTTCAAGTTTGACATCTTCATTCGACTTCCTGGACTGAATTGGGAAAATAACCCTTTTCTCAAAATAACGTGTTTCTTTTATGTATGAAGATCACAATATTTATTAACTGCCTTTCATTTCAGGGTGGGGGGGGGGTGGGGGGCTTAGTGTGTAAGGTAAATTACTATTGATTTCTCTATAGGTTTTGATCAAGGTTTTGACGATGTGGTTTCTGAACCCATTATGTATTTAGTCTTTCACATCTGTCATCTTGGGATCAAATTAGATTCCATAATTTTGTGTGTGTCTCTGGGACCAACTTAATATCATTGAAATATTTCTGTACAATGCTGACTATGGGCTTTCATTTGTTCCCAGCAAGTAATTTTGTCCACCAACTTGTAGAAATATGCAGTTGAAAGAGTTAGGGGGCTTGCACAAAGTACCACCTAATAAAAAAATGCCTCTGGAAACATTTCTCTAGCTAAGGATTTGAGCTGGGCCTATAAATCTTCTCCAGCAACCAGTGCAATATTTTTAGGAAGAGTTCATTACCTTATTGATAAATAATTTTTAAAATCTCACGACTGTTTTGACTGTTTGTCTTTTTTTGGGTTCTTTTTATACATTCGACTTACCTAGATAACTACAGAAAAATACATTATAAATTTCAATGTAAATTTTTTTTTAGCTCCACAGCTAAAAATGTTGACATGGTTATATGTTTTAATTTAGTTATACCATTAGTTGAATCTGATTTACCAAACTGTAGTTCAATCCTGTGTACATTCAGTTGAATATGATTCGCTCAATTGTAATCCCTTCCTGTGTACATTGAGCTGGTTTAGGATAACCTAATTATAGTCCAATTCTGTGCACATAAATTGAATATGATGGCTAAATTATAATCTAATCTACTGTATTAATTAGTTGGTTATTATAACCCAATTGTCGGCCAGTACTGCGTACATTCAGTTGGTTATGATGGCCACAATAACATAACCTCATCTTCACCAATCAACTGTCTTCTGTGGAGCAAACATCATTCCTCTTTTTTTTAAACTAACAACTCATTATTCCTATCCTGTTTAGAGAAATACTATTACAATATAATTCTGATAAACATTAAGCATATGGTAAACTAAGTTGTGCTCCCTGCACCGATTTCCTGGGTGCCCTGCAGCACTGTGTTTGGTGCTAGGTGCTGTGTGCTGCCCATCAATGTTCAACTTGATTGTGACTAGCCTGTACTTTTTTTTTTTTTTAAACAGAGAATAAAGTACCATTACTATTTTAGAATATATGAACATTTTGTAAGAATTACAAATGGATGATGTTATGACATTTATTTGAACCAATGAAGTGTACTGTTATCCATTGAATTCGGCTCTAAGCTGTGTGGAAAGCACAAACCTGCTTATATTGCAGGCGTAACCAAAAATGTTATATTTTTTTACGACACAATTTTCTGAGTCATTCCATTGATTGATCTTCTGAACAAATCCAAAAAGAAACAAACCATTTTAATCTCAATTTTTTTGCCTTCTGGTTTCTTTGCATTAGATATATCATGAACTGCTAATTCTATGACCAAATGGATCAAGTGGTTTGAAATATATCTTTTATCAAATATATTTACTCTCATTGGTAATTACATGATATGATAGTTGTTTTAGTTACTGTTGCAGTTGTCATCTTAACCGGTAGTGTGAAACATTTTTTTTGGCACCTCCTCAAAATGACAACTTTATAAAATTAACTAACTGCAAAATCTATATATCATTATCACTGGAGATGTGAATACATTTTTTTCCATATACTCATGCTGCAAGGCAGTTATTTGAAATTTCTGTCAAGTCCATTACCTATGCTTAGTTTAAGCTCTTACATTTGTCAAACTTTTATTTTTACGACTTACACTGTTTTACACTTTGATTTACACCATCATGGGAAATCATTTCTTGTACATGAACAGATGAAGAGCGTTGTCTTGAATATTTCCAGGTGAATGAGATGGCCAAACTTTTTTGAAAAATTGATTTGTCTTTTTTTTTTTTTTTTTTTTTTTGGAAATTTCCACAGTTAAAAATTTTGACATGGTTTTATTTTTTATTTTTTTTTTTGTTGTTTTTTTTTTTTTTTTTTTTTTTTTATATTTTTTTTTTTTTTTTTTTTTTTTTTTTTTTTTTTGGAAATGTCCACAGCTAAAAATGTTGACATGGTTATATGTTTTAATTTAGTTATACCATTAGTTGAATCTGATATAATATTAAGAAATTAAAGTAAAATAAGATATGTAGTCATCTAATGTTTATGTTTTACAATTTTAAATATGTGAAATAATACCCACTTTTTCCCCCACAAGGAATGCATATTTAAAAAAATTAAAATGTTTTCAATATTTTTACATGTATATGAAGTAAGTATCTATTGTGCATTTGTTTATCTTGCTTCAGCTTACTCTACTCTAAGCCAAATATTTAATAAATAAACATAAAAATAAATTCTCACTAGGACTTTTTAAAATGCAGTTCATATTGCAAGAAGAAATGTTTTCATTATATTATTTTATTATTCATAATTTACTTTATATTATATAGTATTAGTATATATATTATATATTATTAATAAATTATTATATAGTATATATATTATATTATATATTATTCATGTTACTTTTTTTTTTAAAGAAAATTTGTGTGTCGAGAAACTAAAACATTGTTCATAAGAAATGAAGTCAGCGATCCAAGCCGAAGCTCTTAAAGGCCCCCAAGAGCCCCAATTTGCAGAATCTCTCCCCCCCCCCACCCCCAAGCCACCGGAGAGATGCCGGGGAAGAGGCTTTCCCAGGATGATTCACCCTAGTGGCAAACCAACAGTCTACCCCTGGAATGCCAAGGGGGTAGCTTCCTTTAAATTACACCTTGCAGAGTAAGGGGTGGATTTCCTACTTCTAACCACAATGACCTCCCCTGCCACCTGCCCTGGGGCAAATCTTGAGAAACTAATAATATCAAGACTCTCGGAAACCCCTATTCTTTACCTTTTAATTAAAGAAAAAGAGAATATTAATTTTTTTTTTAAATTTTAGATATCAGTGTGCTTTTTTTTTTTTTTTTTTTTTTTTTTTTATAAATTTTTTTTTTCTGTTTTTTTATAATTTTTTATTTTTTTTTTTTTTATTTTTTTTTTTTTTTTTTTTTTTTTTTTTTTTTTTTTTTTATTTTTTTTTAATTTTTTTTTTTTTTTTTTTTTTTCTTTTTTTTTTTTTTTTTTTTTTAATTATAACATCTTAAGTGTTTTTAAAAAAATAATTTTTGATTGCTTTCAGGGAAAGAAAAATCTGGTATAATTATCATATTTTAAATATTGCAATTTCATTGTTAATATAGTTTTTTTGTTTATTTTTGCTGTTTGCAATTTGCATCTTTTGTAATTCATATTTTTAGGCATTTATATATATTTTCTATTTTTCAGTAGTTCAAGTGTTTTAAAGGTTTTTTATTATATTTTAAGAAAAAAACTGTATTGTTTTGAAATATAAGCCAATTAAGTGGATGCTAGCCATTATTCGTTTTGAAGTCAGCTTTATGTTAACTCAATTCTGCTGACCCTGCTAAATGTGGTTTTGAGTTGAACTGAATTATGATTAATTAACATGAGACTCGGCTTCTAATGTTACCCCAGCTTCTAATGTTGCCTTATGGGCTTGGCACCAAGGGCAATGCTGTAATAAATCAATTAATATTTTTGCAATATTCTTTCAGAGTACGTTTTTTCAACACACTGCCATGCGACTGTTGGCTGGTCCTCAAAATGACTTGTTGCTCGAAGAGAAACTGAATTTTTTTTTTAAAACAACTTATCTTTCGTGTAAGTGTATGTGCATATTAAATATTTGCTGTGGAGTTAACAAGCAATTTAAAAAAAACAAAAAACAATTGAAGTAAAGTTTGGGTGTTATTGAGGTAGAATTTCATATTGGTTAAACAGGAACATTGAATGTAAAGCTCATAAACTCTTCCATCAGTAATGTCTTTAAGGTCAGTAGTATTTTTAGAAAAAAATAAGATGAGACCATTTCGACAGTTGTTTGTGTAAGTCTTTAACTTCTAGAATCACTTTTCTTTTCTTAAACCGTGTTGTAAACTTATATCTTAGGCATTAATACATTCATGTTGCATCCTACCCCTTATATTTTGTCTTCCTTGATTATTATTTCTCAACTAAACTGTTCTCATTTGCAGCCTTAATAGTACTTCACTTCGCATTTTAGATGACATCATATCATACAAGCCATGTTGGTGGAGATTATTAGTTTATTAAGTACATTGTATAAATGATGTTATTGGGAGAGTGTTAATTTTAGGGGGTATGCCATGCGTCAATGCAGAAAAATTAACTATTTACACACTGCATGTATCAATATTCTGTTGTTATATGTGAGGCTCATAGCTTCTTTCAAGACAAAGGAAATTCATAAGTTGATACAAAGTTTTGCAGCCTATCATTTGTGCCATCAGATCAAACTATTGGTGTTAACCAGAAGGGATCAGTGTAAGAAATATAGGTTGTAGTGTAAACGAGTAAGTTTTAGCATTTTGGGGATTAAGTTTAAGGCAAAAAAAAATGTAAATATAAATTTAATCTGCAAGCCTTCCTCAGCTTGCATAACTTATAAAATTATGCCTAAAACTACGAAAAACAGTGACAGCTTAACAATTAATTCAAAAGCAAGAAAAAAAAAGGGACGTGTGGTTTCATCATTTAGTAAAGTGTGCCCTTATGAACAGTCAGCACTTGACTTTTTTTAAAATTTCCCAATGGTTGGTGGTACCAGCTGGCATCAGATAAGCAGCTGGTACCGGATCTGCTACAAGCACTTTAACAAGCTTCTGTACAAAGA